GATTTTCCATTACAAAGAAACCGAACTCAATCACTGCGGTGTTTTTGAAAGTTCATTATTAACAGTGTAGAAACAGTATCTGTCAGCGTTCTATTCACCACCAACACTGTAAAATTGTCTTATAACTTTAGTTGTGGGTAAGTTACTAGCAAACTTACTCTCTTAACACGGGCGCATCTCTACTGCTCCAAGTAAACGTACCATTCTCTATTGCTACTGCCGACGAGGACACTGTGAAAAAATTAAAACAGGTTGGTGCTAGCCACGTATTCCATGCTATCCAGGCTTTTTTTGTGTTTTTTAAATTGTTTTTTTTTTAGTATCGGTTACAACACGCAGATGTCATATTTAATCCACTTTTCTTGTTTCATTTTAGTGACGTGACGAAAAGAAAGAAAGAACAGCTCCGAGTCCTCTCAATCAAGATGAATTTAATTTGCCGGACAATTATTTTTTTTCTTTTCCTCAACTAGATCAGTGAACAAAGCTGCTACGTAAATTTCAGTTTATACTAAGTTAATGTGGGAGGCGCGATGGCCTCATGGTTAGTGCGCTCGTCTCCGGATCGAGCGGTTCGAGTTCGAGCCCTGGCCGGGGACACTGTGTTGTGTTCTTGGGCAAGACACTTTACTCTCACAGTGTCTCTCTCCACCCAGGTATATAAATGGGTACCGGCGAACTTAATGCTGGGGGTAACCCTGCGATGGACTAGCAGCCCATCCTCGGGGGGGAGTAGAAATACTCCTAGTCGCTTCACGCTACAGAAACCGGGATAAGCTCCGGCCTGATGGGCAACTTGGCTCGTATGCAGACTTTACCTTTTTTTTACCTTTAAGTTAATGTATTGTATTGTACTGTATATACGTAAGACAATGATTCAACTCTCGATGGTTTTTACTCTTAACTCTTACATGTAGTCCTTTGCACACTGTTGAGATCCAGCTCCTCCAAGTCTAGAAACTCTTGTAGTCTTTTTAAAGATACCCTGGCCTTTTGAAACCAAAGACGACGGGAAAATGTCAGCAATGTAACACTCGATTTAACAATTAGATGATGAGCTCGGATATCTATCGTGCAATAGTTGACGAGGGCGCAACCTGAGTCAACAATCACGCATAGAAATCAGGAGCGAATTGTTTTAGTATAAATCTCCTAGTCGTTCAAAATTTTATTTAAATCCTCTTCACAGAAAATTAGAAAACGCAAAGAAACGAACGCGTGTTCGTTAACAAGCGCACACTGCTAGGCTACTCACTATCTACAACAGAACAGATAGTGAGTAGTG